AGATTTCACACAAAAAAAATCAGGATGAATGAGGATGCATATTCGTTTGACATCAATGTTTTTTTTTTCCTTTTCTTCAGTTTGTTTGTATTTTTGTTAACAAACATGATAATAAAAAAAAATGTTCATTGTGGTAAACGAAATAATAATTTCATCTAAGTAAGTTTTTTCTTCCCGATTTGAAAAAATCTTTACGTGATAAAAAATGAATATTATTTTCGAAATCTGTGATAGCTGAATTATGTAAAATCCGTTATTAAAACCAAACCAACTTTTATAAAGTTTGAATTCGCAGGCCTGTGTAATTCTAGTACTTTATGATCCCATAGACTCGCTTGTGAATACATTAAAATTCATACTCGTATATTTCACAAAAAGCACATTTCTCTCCTGTAACATTATACAAACACAGAAAGAGTTACATTAACTATCTTTTTTTTTAACAATACTTTAGTTGATTTCGTTTTGAAATATAATTGAACTTGCATGTGAACATGTGATGTATAAAATGCATACATGTATTGTCTTGTACTAAGGATATGACAAGCAAAAGAACCTTATAATTATGTACTTAACAGATGTAATTAGGCGATGTTAAGATGACAAACTTTAAAGTTGTTTATGAAACTATACAACGTCTCCCAAGGCCTCTCAGGAAATGCTGTGGTAAACATATGGAAAAATGAGCACGCGGTATTTTTAGCAACAGAAACCCTGTTTCGTATGGTAGTCGGGGAAGAATTCGTTCGCGTTATTTCTGACTATTCGCCACGTGCATACGTAGTTCAAGCTCACTTGTATTCACTGCCTACTATAATTCGTTGAGTTTTGGGTCTATTTTAACTAAATGGTTTAACATTTAGAATTTAGAGGTTATAAGAAATACTCTCTAAAGCGGTGGTTTGCAAACCCTTTTCGCTGATGACACCCTAACCCACTTACCCAAATTCACGACACTCCTGCTGCCACGTGCAATATATTTTTTGTAGAGTTTTCTTTTTATGCTATTAATTATTCTTCGTTTGGTGAAACGCTCGCGACACCACTAGCAACTGACTGCGACACACAATGTGGAAACCACTGCTTTAAAGTTAGGGACAAGATCTGGTTGCAAGTTCAGCTAAGTAGTCTCCAATATGACACTTTTCAGAAAAATATATTTTGATTACGTGTGTGTATGTCTATTATAAACAATTACCTAACTGTAATCCAAAGATTATCACTCAGTGTTTATTTATCACAAAGAAAGAATCATAAAAGTGATCAACAGAAGTCTTCAAAAGACTGTATGATAGAATATGATGATCAGTAGAAGGTGGAAAGACTGTATGATAGAATATGATGATCAGTAAAAGGTGGAAAGACTGTGTGATAGAATATGATGATCAGTAGAAGGTGGAAAGACTGTGTGATAGAATATGATGATCAGTAGAAGGTAGAAAGACTGTATGATAGAATATGATGATCAGTAAAAGGTGGAAAGACTGTATGATAGAATATGATGATCAGTAGAAGGTGGAAAGACTGTATGATAGAATGTGATGAACAGTAGAAGGTGGAAAGACTGTATGATAGAATATGATGATCAGTAGGTGGGAAGACTGTATGATAGAATATGATGATCAGTAGAAGGTGGAAAGACTGTATGATAGAATATGATGATCAGTAGAAGGTGGAAAGACTGTATGATAGAATATGATGATAAAGAGAATGCTTGGAAAGAATGCATGACAAATATAAGAACATAAGAACCATGGAGACAAAAATTAAGCTTTAGTTACATAATTTCAAGATGGCAACTTTAAATATTTTATGCGTGAACCTAGATGTAGCTGATAATAAGTTAGAACCGTTTAACATAACATATTGTTAAAAAATAAAATAATATGAAAACGCAGACCTTCTTTAGTGATTTTAGTACATCACGCGTCTTAACAAAGTGTAATAAAATACGAAGGTTATATGGACAATTTATTTTGGCGAAAACGCAGACCTTCTTTAGTGATTTTAGTACATCACGCGTCTTAACAAAGTGTAATAAAATACGAAGGTTATATGGACAATTTATTTTGGCGAAATAAACTACAAAAACCTCTGTAAAATCAAGTATTTATTTTAGTTAATACTCAACTAACTTTTACAAACAAAGCGGTGAAGATCACTATTTATAGATAAGAACGAGTTACAAAACTCAGCACTCATACAAACATATACCAATAACACTTACACTTGCATAGAAACTCGTATATATCTAAAAATGTCAGAAACAAAATTCAGAAAAATGCCCCTGATTCGTTATATCTCATTTTTTATCAATAAATTCGTGTGTTTCTCTAATCATCATTCCAGTCCCAAACGTCTCACAGAGTGTGAAAATAAATATTAGTTCCAATAATACTAAAGAACTTAAACTCTTCAAGTTTTAACAAAATGTTTCCAAGCACTTAATGCTATTTAAAAATAGAGGACAAAACCAGACGTAATTGTCACTTCAAGAGGATTTTGGAGCAACAATGCGGTTCACTTTTCACACAAGATCAGGTTTTCAATACCCTGAATCCATCCTATTTTACACGTATCCATCCATCTGCCTCAATCAATCCTTTTCATTCAAAACCAAAGCTTATTAAGAGTATTAATAAAAGTTATTTTAATCTGCAGTGCTATGATAGTTATTCCCACACATTTCAAAATATTTGGCTGTTTCTTCAACTTTGTAATGAGAGTAACACAGATTAACAGAAATCTAGAGTACACCAAATACCTGATACGTTTGAGAAATGAAGACAACTCTAAAGTTATGAATTCTTTCAATCGCTAATCCAGAAAGAAATGAACTGTTAAAATCACGAGAAGTTTTATATATATTAGAGATCATTAATACTGAATTTAAGATGTATTGACGAAAATATTACTGGAAAATAAACCTGGAAAATCTGAAGGAAACGCCTTTCAATATAAACTTGAATACTCGAAAGAGAAAAAAAAAATTTTGTTCTGACATGAAATGCATTCTACATATAACAAAGAATCCGAAAGACTTTCGAGAATAAGTAATGGAAACTCAAAACTGCATTAGCTAACAAAAAACAAAAAAAAAACCGACAAAAAAGTGAGTCATGACTTTTTCAATGCTTCCCAGTGGATGTGCTTTTGCATATGCCTGACTCATTCACGGAATGCTTTTCAAAGAAACGAGTCACTTTAAGAATGAACTTAGGTGACAACAAGATGAACAAACTGTTGAAGATAAAATATTTCTTACTCTCTGAAGGATAGGTAATATGTTAAAGTGAGGGTCTTTTTAACTCTGATAACGAAGAAATCAATAAACTGTTAACTAAAGTAAAGACCTTTCTAACTATCATGACAGAAATCAGTTAAACTGTTCTATCTCTGATGACGGAGAGAGAAATAATGTGTTAAAGTAAGGGTCTTTCTATCATCGCTTATGGAGTGATAAAGTAACTACTGAGACTATCCTATATAATTCTAGTGACAGAGAGGTAAACGGTTAAAATGAGGGTCTTTCTAACTCTGACGATGGAGAGATAAATAACTGCTGATAAAGAGGAACGTTTTTCATCAGTCAATGGATTCTAAAATATTTCTCTACATGAATCCATCTGCAAAAAACAAAACAAAACGAAACTTATCAGTAGGTGTAAAAAACAAATAAAATGCATAATCATAATTATATAAAAAAAAGCTAGAAATGCACGCATGTTAAGAAATAACAAAGAAATATAAGAAACATTTTGAGAGGGAATTGATTTGCTTTATAAAAAATATTTTTCAAAAATCTAATACACGAAATAACACAATAAGACTTATTGTTAGAGAGGGAATGCTTTAAAATAACAGGAAGATTAATCAACATGAAGTCGAAAGTCAAAATCAAAACTAATCACACTAAATTAGAAGTATTTTTTCTAATCACAAACTCAGTGTGCTTGTCTCCAAATAATATAATGTTTTAAGAAACATAACTTAATAGTAATATTACACCATGATGTTCTGACTTAGAGTTTTTGCCTACCCTCAAATTTTTCACATCTTACCTGAACTTTGTAATTTATCAGGTATTCCTTTATACTTCAAAATTAAGTAAACAATTATCAATAAAATTTTAGAAATTAAGATGACTTTCACACGTATCTGCTAAACTGTGTTCATATTACCTCAACCACTTTTCAGAAATGATCATCACTCCTCCTACCCTCTAACTTTCGCGCTTGTTTCCAATGGCAACGTATTCAATAGTACACTAATGCAAAGGGGTATTCGTTACGTACTTTCATAACATAATTGTTTTATTTGGCTAGCTGGTTTAAACTAGAACACTTAAACCTCGTCAGAATATTTCTTAAGTAACTGTCGGATGTATTTTTTCCGGATAATTTTGGGGTAACTATCGGATGTCTTTTTTCCGGATAATTTGTGAGGTAACTGTCGGATGTCTTTTTGCCGGATAATTTGTGAGGTAACTATTGGGTGTCTTTTTACCGGATAATTTGTTAGGTAACTGTCTGATGTCTTTTTTCCAGATAATTCGTTAGGTAACTGTCGAATGTCTTTTTTTCCGGATAATTTGTGAGGTAACTATTGGGTGTCTTTTTTCCGGATAATTTGTTAGGTAACTGTCGAATGTCTTTTTTTCTGGATAATTTGTGAGGTAACTGTCCGATTTCTTTTTTTCCGGATAATTTGTGAGGTAACTATTGGGTGTCTTTTTTTCCGGATAATTTGTTAGGTAACTGTCGAATGTCTTTTTTTCCGGATAATTTGTGAGGTAACTGTCGGATGTCTTTTTTTCCGGATAATTTGTGAGGTAACTGTCGAATGTCTTTTTTTCTAGATAATTTGTGAGGTAACTGTCGGATGTTATTAGTTATTAAGTTGCTATTGTTGTCTTATCATCAGAATAAGTTGTTGGGTTGTTGTCAATGGCTTTCTTTCAGAATAACTTGTTAGTTAACTGTCGGATGTTATTAGTTATTAAGTTGCTATTGTTGTCTTATCATCAGAATAAGTTGTTGGGTTGTTGTCAATGGCTTTCTTTCAGAATAACTTGTTAGTTAACTGTCGATGTACTCTTTTCTGGGTAACCTATTAAGTATTTGAGGATCTCTTCGTGTTAGGGGACCTTCTGAGTAATACTGGATTTCTTCTTATCAGAGTGACTTATTATATTACTGTCAATGCCTTCAAGTAAGGGTTACAGTCCGATATTCCGAAGGGTCACAACTCTGAAGTGTCATAGTTCCGAAGGGCCGATATTCCGAAAATTGAAAGTAAAACCAATTACATGTGCATTCCTAATGTTCATTCAGGTTTATATATTACATAATCAGTAGTATGTGTACAATGTTATATTACATAATCAGTAGTATGTGTACAATGTTATATTACATAATCAGTAGTATGTGTACAATGTTATATTACATAATCAGTAGTATGTGTACAATGTTATATTACAGACGTAAGCCAATAACATTTCGAAGTATATTTGTAATCATTCCAAAGATGTTATTATTATTATTACCTAATTTAATCTTTTGAAAAAATATGTAACAATTATTATACTAATAACATCATTACTACTATTATTATTATAGAAACATGATGAAAAAGTTGAATAACAAAAAAAGAAGAATAAAGCGAACCTCAGTACTAGTGGCGGAAAATTTCCAGACTATCGGTCTGTCCACTTGTAAGGATAACCGGTTAGTTATCTGTAAATGTCTTTATTTTTAGGTACCTTGTTATATGTCATTCTCATTCGATAATTGCATAGGGCTTTTTACCAGACAGATTTTCAGGTAACTGCACGTTTTTCTGCTTGTTTGTATTTGTTTGGTCGGAGTAACTTCTTAAATAACACCAAATATATCTTTTTTTGTGAGTGGTAAGTATTAGACAGCCAATGATCTATTTTAAATAACACAAAATATATCTTTTTTTGTGAGTGGTAATTGTTAGACAGCGTTGATCTATTTTAAATAACACAAAATATATCTTTTTTTGTGAGCGGTAATTATTAGACAGCCGTTGATCTATTCTAAGTAACACCTGATCTATCGTTTTTGTGAGCGGTAATTGTTATACAGCCGTTGATCTATTTCTGCCGTGTTAACCAATTGTTCCGAATTTGTACTTACTGTTTTAAAACATTTGGATACGATGGTTTTCCCTGTCACAAACGAGGATAGATCCATTTGACGTAACAGCTATACCCTCTAACCCCTTAAACTCTCCCTCTCCGGCTCCCCAACTTCCAAAAGCCCTAAGGAAGGAGCCATCAGGGTGAAAGATTTGGATACGATTATTTCCACTGTCTCCTACGATGATGTATCCCTGGTCATCAACAGCGACTCCTCGGGGAAACTTAAACTGTCCCTCTTCCGATCCTTCATTTCCTATAGTAGATAAGCTACGGCCGTTGACGTCGAAGATCTGGATGCGATGGTTGTTGCTATCGCTCACAATGACTCGATTAGTATTGCTGACAGCTATGTAATGTGGGTGTTCAAGATGACCCGGCCGGGTTCCAAAAGTACCGAACTTCCCCACAAAGGTACCGTCTGACTGGAAGACCTGTAGTCAAATAATAAAAATCAATAAGCCATATTAGCAACCGGATGATAAAAAATCGTATATGAAGATTTTCCTAAGACAGATCACGTAAACAACTCAGAAAGGAATTAACAGGAGAAATAATCAAGTTCAATATCACATAGAATGTAATAATGGTAAGAAATTTAGGAACAGCAGATAAGAATACGAGGTTAGATACATCACAATTAAAGAAATCTGTGAACCCGAGAGCTTTTAGATAAGGTGGTCCTTTTATAATCCCATTTGAAATCTCAAGTTAAAATAAAGTGACTATATACCCCAATTTCCTGGGACAGTCCCCGAATGAGGAATGTTGTCCCCCGGAGAAAAAAATCCCGAAAGTGTTTTTGATGCGAAAACAAAATCCTTCCGAAATGCCCTTGCATTTAATTTGTTATATTTATCATTAAATCTGCAACATAAACACGTTATAAATATTATTATTATTATTATCAGCTTAATTATAACATCGTAACGTCACGACACTGATGCAGTCATAGAATATTTTCATGTTCTTTTTCAGAACAATAAAGTCCTAAAACATACACCTTTATCAGGGAAATATAACTGCCTGCATCTGGAGTTATGGTGACTACAGGTTACAAGATTTCTTCAAGCGCCTCCTATTTTGATTTTCCAGATATGGTTATCTAGCCATTGCTAATACTTGTGTTAATTAGCCAAAAAGCCAGTATTTTATACACATATATATAAGATGCATTCCTGTGTTATTTATGAACAGGTTTTTTAAGCTAACGATAATTTAAAAACACAACAATATATTACTGCACAAAAGCAAACCAAAAACACATAAAGTATCCGTAAATATGTAAAAATAAGGATGATATCCACATTGAGTTACAATACAAGGTATAATTCCAAGTCATGTTAGCTCACCTGAATTCTGTGGTTTTCTTTATCACAGACATAGATGAAACCTAGACTGTCAGTAGTAATTCCCCAGGGATAGTTAAATCTTCCATCAAGACGACCCTCACTGCCGAAGACCCTCAAGAACTTGCCCGAGGAATCAAAGATTTGAATCCGGTGGTTGTAACGATCAGAGACGATAAATTGCCCGATCCTGTTGACAGCTATGCCAGCTAGACAATCAAACTCTCCCTCTGCACTTCCATAAGTACCGAATTTTTGTAAAAACTTTCCGGTGGAGTCGAAAACCTGGTGGCAGAAAAAGGAACAAGCTTACCTAATTATCCGAGCACAGAAATTATGACATACACGCTATCCTGATCAAGACTTTGACTATAGGAATCTAACACTAAATAAAGCCTAGTGTATGGAATTATTAGTAAATAGTATTTTCATTTAATTTTCTATAAGACAGACGTGGCGTAGTGTTTAGTAAACCGAGATCGAAAGGTCCAAGGTTCGAGCGCACGATACGTCTCTGAACACGCTCGTGAAGCGTTATAAAAGTGATAACCAATCCCGCTATTCCATTAAAAGTAGCCATGTAGGCAATTCATAATCAGGAACGGTCATGCTTGAAGCTTAGGGTGCCCGATCTAGCCGTTTCGCCCGCATGTCACATGAGGTGCCACTTAGGTTTAAAATACCAGGTATCAAGTATACTAGCTGCAAGATATTCATGATAACTTAAGGTAAGAACATTGACTTTATCACACTGGTTTTTCTTGGAATTCTAATTTCGTAAATGTGTCA